TAACTTTTTTTTCCTAAGAACACGAAAAGAAAAGCAAGAATAAAATATTGATAGAAATTCACTGAAAACAGGTTATTAAACCGATTTCGCAGTGAAAACTTACGAAGTATTTTGCTGTTAAACACAAAAAGTTTTTGGCATTAGTAATATCCGAAATAACTTGTTTTTTCAAAGAACAAGAAAAGAAAAAACACAAAATTTCGTTGTTACAAATTTAATCTTTATAGCAATTAAATTGTTAACAACGAAATTTTGTGTTTTTTCTTATTTATCGTAAACATGATGTTAACAAAAGTTAAAATTCTTTTTGTATCTTTAAAAAAGTGTTTTATTCTGTGCCTGATAAATCTAAAAGATCTTGAGAAGTATTTTCGGTGGAATTCAAAAAAATAGTTAGTGGCTTGGATTAGAAGATCAAATCTAGAGCATTATCACGCATGTGATGAACTTTATTAAACGACAAAGAATAAAATGGCCACGTTATCAGAATGGATGAAGAGCGTACCACAAAAAGAGTTTTCAATGCCAGACCAGTTGGCACACGAAGAAAAAGGCAGGCCGAATTTGAGATGGATAGATGGCCTAGAAAAAGACCTTTTGATCTCAAAAACTGGAAAACACGAGCAGGAAAAAGGTTAGCATGGAAAAAACTTGTTGAGAATTCCAGGGCCCAACCTGGGCTGTCGAGCCATTGATGATAAGTCTAAAGAAAATATTTTTTCATACTAATTACATTGAGTCATTTTTTTAAATTATGAAGCAAGATGGGTCTTTAAAAAGGGCTCTTGATATAAAAGAAAATTCCTGACTGATTGTTGTTGTTTTTTTAATGTAGGCAGGTTCTAAAACAGTTGAAATTTAAACGAGATAGGTAAAAATAATAACCATAATTGGAAATAAATAGCATTGGATCTTTTAATACGCTTGAACAAAGCTGCTAAACCTTCCACTTTTGTCGGAAGATGCTCTTTTATTTAAAGCTATAATAAAATATACAGTCCAAATTATTAGACCCACTATAAGATTCTGCCGCATCTTTTCTTCGTTTTGGACTCAATTTTCTTCGTTGTACGATAACCTTCAATTTTCCTGATGTTTGAAAATATTTTAGCATTCACGAGAGCTTTTTTACATGGTTACCTTTTTACCCATGTTCTAATTGATTATTTAAACACTGCACCCAAATAACTGCATAGTAGAACTGCGAGACTTACGACTGAAACCGGTTTGCACTTGTTTACGATCGTGTATTAATTGGCTAATATTGTAATGTAATGCATTAAAAATATCAATAGGAAGTATATAAGAAATATCCTGAATAAAAACCCAATACATGTATGTTTAAATATAAAAGTATAGCATATAAAATCGTGCAAAGCATGTAGTTATTAAAAAACTACAGTGCGTCTAATAATTTGGCTAGGGACTGTATGCTTAAGAGGGTAGGTGCACGTAAATCGACTAAAAACGTATTTTTAATTTTTTTGCAGATTCTTAAAATGGAATTTTTCCGGAAAAAATGGCGCTTAAATTTTTATTCTATCTTAGCTAGAAGTATTTTTTTAAATAAAATAATACTTCTAAAATAAGTGCCAAGCCCACCCAAACCGAAACTAAACCCTGGATTGCTATTGTTTAAATGAAAATAAAATGAAAGGAAATGTATGCTTAAATATTTTTTATCTTGAATTAACAAAGTTGATTTATAATATATAATAATATAAATAAATATAAGTTTTAACATTAAAAATATGAACCGTTTTCAAAGTTAAATCTTGTAAATTCAGTTCTAATATCTATAGAGTGAATCTTAACCAGAAATCGCACTTGAGGGTTGAAAAGACTTTCTCAGAGACTTTTCCAAAACAAGGGGGAGAAATTAAAATGATGTAGTTGTAGCACTTACTAGATGGCGCTAATGTCAATAAAAGATCAATGTGATCATTGCTTCTTAATTCAAACAGGGCGTATTTTAATTTAAGATTTCGTGTTTAATGCAAACATTAATTCAGATGCTGAAAATTTAATTTATAGACTTATATTGATTAGAAATCTTGATAAACAAAATGTTCACGAATATTTAATCTGCATTGAATTATAAATGCATAATTTCGATAGGCCTGTAAAATATTTTTTATTATTACTTGATAATTGTTACTGTTCAAAGATTATACTATAATACATAACACTGAATTTTAATACAATACTTAATGGCTGATAAATAATTGTGGGTAAAAATTTAATTATTTGTAACTTTCTTAATTGTGATGAAGAACATAAAATCTTTTAAAATTTTGTCTTAAAAAATGTAGATTTGCGAGAAATCCATTTTAAATTGAAACATTCAAAGGAACAAAATTGAAACAAACTTGAGGAGTTGGTATCTTCTTCGGCTGAAAGTGAGATGAAAAAAAGTATAATATTTCATTTGTAACTGGTTTTTTCGACAAGTTAAATTAGCTTTTCTTAACTATTCATGACTGTTTACTTTTCTCAAAACAGCCTTATATATGTTTTAGAAATGTTTAAAAAAAATCTTGGTAGTCATATTTTAGATTTCCCCAAAAAATTCTATAATAAAATTATTTACTTACCAGCTTTTCCGTCTTGATCTATATAAGCTTTCAGATTTTTATCGTAAATTAAAGTACTATTAATGTACAACGGGGTACATAAATATTACTTTAATTATTAGAAATATTTATATTAAATTTATTTTTTGAAATATTTTAGAATATTTATACTTTTTTTTCAATTGCTACACCATGCATTGAATAGAAAATATATATAAATGTCGTTTAAATTTATTTAAATGCTATTGCTTTTTAAAAAACATGTCTTTGGATTTTCTAGCGTTATCATCACTAAAAAAATTTAAAAAGTCAAAACTAGCAGAATATGATAAAAATTACCATGTTTCTGACTCTATGGGAACACCAAAAAGTTCGTTAATTTTTAGCGCTTTGACAAAATTAATAATAAAATATGGTTTCATAATATGTGATAGAATTTGGTAAATATGGTAAAATTTGGAATTTTTTATTATACCTTAGAGTATGGCATAAAACCATTTATTATATTAAATTTACTTTTCACACATGAATTGTTATCGAAAGTGTGGAAATAAAACTAAAACTTTGACAACCAGAATTTCCAGTAAACCATTACTATGAACAGAAAAATTTCCAAATGAATAATTTAAATATGGTTGATTTCATTAACCAGAATTAGGGGGGGTATAAGAAACGCCATTACCACACAGAACTGTAATTTTACCAAATTTTTTTCCTCCGTGTTATAAGAACTTATAATCATCTAAATAGATTCAGAACTAGATTTACTATAATCCAAAAATATTCGAGTGCAGAAAAGCTTGATTACTACTGTATATGATTATTTATTGCACAGACTTAAAATTATAAATTTCAATTTTATTTACTGCTGCAAAATATGCATTGAATTCATGTTTAAGAAATTTCTAAATTTTATGATTGCTTTCATCACAATATGAACAATTTCAATATGAACGCAATTAGTTATTTAATTTGTAACTAAGTCAATAATACTGCATGTAAATCATCAAGAAGATTAAATGTTTTTCATGGGATGTTAAAAAAAAATTTCGCTTAAAAATTTACATAATGGCAAATGTAATAAACATTAAAACAGAGATGCATGAAAGGTGTTTCTAATAACCATCTTTCAACTCCTCACTGTTCTCTCACGTAATCAAACCTGCCTTGCTGTTTATTACGCCTATCTTTCGGTACTGTGTTTTGACAGATTTGTAAATCGTTTTTTTTCTTTTTTTTCAAGTTTAAAGGTTAATTTGTGACTCCCAATATGTATACTTTTTAGCTTTCATTTTTGATAGGGATTCTAATAATATTTATTAAATGTGATTTTTAGTGAGCACCCTCTAAAAAAGTTGTTTATATACGCTATGATACACTTTGATTTATTTTAAAATTTTATTTTCGAAATAAAACCGTGTGATACAAAAATGTATCTCTTGTTTGATGATGAAAACTAAAGAAGAAGGGGTTGTGATATTTAGTTCAGAAAGCGGTCTATATTTCGCGTTAGCTTACTTTGGCAGATTTTAATTGATTGGCAATGTAAATCGGTCGTCCATTGAGATACGTTGCATTTATTTGCTATCTTTGTAATAAGGAAAACAAAAATAGACATAGCTACTATACTTGGTATCTTAAAACTAAAATTTAACAGTAAATATCGATAGTAAAAATTATTTTAAATTTTTTGATTATTTCCTTTTAAAAAATTTTATATTTTAAATGAAGTATGAAATATAAATTTATTTTATTATTTATAACGTAAAATTATCTCTTTAAAAACATTATTGAATAATACTTACTAAATAACTTGCCTTAAAAAGAAAAAATAATACTATTATTTTCACCTTAAGCAAATCTCATCACTTTAAATATTTTCTGTTCACCTTATTTCTACTTTCTATTTCGTTAATTTTAAATTGCTTTTGAAAATGGAATACAACTGTCTCAAAAAATTAATACAAATAGCTGGCTGAAATTCTATAATTAATATAAAAAAATAGCTCACGATTTTAAAAATACAAGCCCACAATTACGGCATGTCTATTCTGTGAAGGGGTGAACTAGATCAATTGCTTCTAAAAGTCTGTCAATTGTTTGTGTCTTTTGATTATTAAGGCATTTTTACTCATTCTCTATTGTTGCAATCAAGTATTGCTTGATTAAAAGATGCATTCAAGTGACGTCATCTTGAATATCTCTATCCCTTCATAATAAACATCACAATTGCCGAGAACTTTACTTCATTGGCACAAAATTACATACTCTAGTTTCTGCAACACTGCCAACTTAAGTACGTAGAAATTAAAATTTAAATTTAAAAAAAAATTTAGAGTCAATTGAATAGAAATTGTAAAAATGTAAAAATTGTCTTTAAAGGTTTATAAAAAAAGTTCTGACTGTCTTATTTTTTTAATTTTTCAGGTACCCTTTGCCGCCAATGTTACATTCCTCAATTGCTCTTTGATATTTTCTTCTGGACCGGGTACGTGAACAGCTGTTTGAACCCCATAATCTACGCTTGTTCGAGTCGAGACTTCAAGAGGGCATTCCGTCAGGTATTACACTGCACTGTTCTTGGATCTGACCGAGATCTGCAGTCATTCCGTGCCCGAACCATCAACTTCACTCTTCGAAGTACTCGCCGATCTGACAAAAAAGATTCTGAGAAGATGACTTTTGATGTGACAAAGATTCCACCCCTTATTCAACCCCAATATTCACTGGATAGCGAGTCACCAGGAAGTATCAATGAAAATAATCTCGATGATGATTTACCACCAGCTTACCACAGTATTTCCGCACCAACCATTGCAGAAGCCATCAAGAGAGTGAATTCTGTGATTCGAGCTGGATCCGGTACTGACACCGATTGCACAGTGATGGGCAGTTCGGAGTGACATTTCGGCCACATGATGTCAGGTGTGTTCTCTTTTTGATGAGCCGTTGCTCGTTTCACTTCTTGGCGATGATGATGTAGTAGTGAATCATTTGCTGGTGAAAAGCGGCTCCTTGGCCTATCAATTTCTTGGTTTAGACCAAGAATTGAAGCGTCAGCTTCGCCACGCTGGGCACTATCGGTTAGAGCAGTGTTGTACCACCTACTGTTGCGGATGTTTTGTATCAAAAGCTGCTCACGTGCTTTATCACATGCTGCCCTCCACACACTTTCCCTCGTCTTATTTTTTTTATTGATTTTATTTTTGTCTTCAAACTTAATGTTTTAAATGTGGTCTCACATAATGTGTAGTTGAAGCATGGACACAACCTTTTAGTCATGAGTGTGAAATTACATGTCGTATATATTTTAAAATCCTAAATTTATTTTAAATTGTTTATTTTTGTTTTTGAACGCACTTAGCACGTAACGTGACACTTATAAGTGTGTAGCCACGAATTATCTTCTGTTTATAAGCGTATAGTGTATTATGTGTGTTAGATGCATGTAAGAGTAAAATGAGTATTGTGATTAGCATTTAATAGCAATGTGCATGACGATAAACTTTCTAACAAACACCTCAATATATATTGTCTTCTACATAAAAACCGAAGTCGTTTCTAAATTTCATTCTTAAGCATGAATCTAGAACAAATATTCTAAAATAAGTTTAAATATTAGTTGTCTGCCAATTATAATTTTAATTTCGTGTGTTTTTATAAAATACTCCCAAACGAGCTTACTTTTTCCCATTAGTTTTTCAAATATGGTGTCTAAAAATATATGGTTGACTTGAAAAAAAATTTTTGCAAATTTTTTAGAACATGAGAAATTTTACCGTACATTTATTGAAGTCTTTTGCAACCGCTTTTTTTTCTCTAATATAATTGGAATGTCCCTTATCAAACATTGTGTAAAAAATTTTTCATGTGGAATAGTATTGAATAGAATTCTTCTTAATGGTTTCATTAGATAAACCAATTTTTTTACTTGCATGATCCATTATTTGTCTCTCAACAAATAAAATATAAAATCTTAGCTAAAACATATACATTTAGCATACACTTAGCTAAAACCCATACCCATACATAATATTTTCTAATCAAGGAACAGAATAATCGAAAATTACCAATGTCTCCAAAATATACAAATAAAAAAAAATTTTGTTCAAATAAAAATTATTATGAAAGTTATTGAAATTGGGAAAATTTTGATGGGTTTGTTTTCATTCAAAATACTTAAGCATTTTTTTAAAATCAAATTTTTTACGTCTTATACATTTTTAAATTAAACGTTAACATTTGTTTTCCATGGTCTCAAATATAATAATTATGTGCAATATTTTGTGATCTGTACTTGCTGCAATAACAGATCAAGCTTTATAAAATTCTTTTATAAAATTTTATCAAGATAATTGCAGTTTAAATTGCTTTTGAGTTGAGAGTTTCTTTTTAAAATTACATTTTACATTACTTAATCAATAAATTTTCTAAGTAAAATTTAAAAGTTTAATCATTTCACTATAACACGGGAAATTTGTACATTATTTTTAATTTTATTTAAAAAAAATATCATTATGACAAATAAATATAAATTATCCTTTTAAACGATTAAAATATTCTACGAAATTAAACGATTTATATTTGTATTTTAATTTAAATATAAAAATGGCACTAAAAAATGCAAATTATTTTTACTTCTTTTTAAATAAAAGGTATTCGTAAGCAAAATCAATTTGAGTTATCACTTTAAGTAACTGAAATCTTCTTTAAAATAAAATCATTGATTTTTCATTTTAATTTGAATGCTATAATGCCAATATAAATTATTTTAAGTTTTTAATGAAAATATTTAAAATATCATGTAAATATAAATGATCTACGATTGAATTTTGAGTAATTCATCGTTACACTTTAATTTGAATCTAACGATGCCAATTGAAACATTTTTAAAATTTTTTAATTTTATTATAAAAAATTATTTTGATATCAGATGAATATAAATTATTTATTTAGGATATTGAAATCGTCTTCTAAATGAAATCAGAATAACTATGATATGGATTTCATTTCAAATTTAAGGATATTTATAGAGAAATTAAAAAATTATTCTTCATTTTTTTAATAAAAATTTTTATGCTTTCAAAATTAGCATAAATCATCTATTAAGAAGAAATTATATCTGTTTTTGTTAACATGAAACTTATTGCTATTCAAAGATTGGAACCTAAAGAAAATTATTACAAATATTATTTAATCATTCACAAACCCAAACTATTGAAGAATATTTGAAATTCTGAAGGTTTTCAGACCTTCAATAAATAGTGATTCAGCAATATTATCAATTTGTCAAATTTAAGGGGATTTTTCGTGACCATTTTAAGGCTATTTATACCAAAACTGAAATCCACCGCACTTCACGCTAGAATGTTAAATTTCACATTAAATAAAATTTTGCAACTTTAATGATTTTAGACAAAGTAATTTGATAACTCATAAAATTTTCCATTCGATTTAAAATATAACAGGGCATGATAATAATGCAACTTCTAATACACTTAAATATTTTTGATCACGTTTACTGTCTTTAACTCATTAAATGATAAGTTTATTATCAAGGCAATTATAAGGGGTATCTCCAATTTGTTAAAATCAATTATAAAAAGACCTATGTGCAAAGCAAACTACAATAATAAAAGACATCCTGTTCAATTTTTATGTTAATCTGTTAAACATTTGAAGAAGCAATGGGGCAATAAATTTGCAAACAAAACTAGGGCTATTTAAAAAAAAATCTAGAATTTATTTTTAATAATTTCTCATGAATTTTGATTCCCCATAAAATTTTCCTGGGAAAATATGTTCCATTCTGCTCCCTCTAGCTACGCCTGTAGGTTAAAAACGCGAAGTTTTTTTTTAAAAAATGGATGAAAGTGTTCAAAAATGAATATGTTTGAGGTTAAAAACGCAAGCCTGAGTTAACAGCAAGAGAGAAAAAGCTGACTAATTACGCCTATAATTTAAGATAGAATTATATAGACCCTAAAGTTGTAGAGCGTCTTCGTTGAAGGAGAGCATCTTCCTAATTGAGAAAATAATCATGAAATTATTTTAAAAGTAGTACAATATATAAGAGTTTTTTTCTGGAACCAAAAGAATTTGAAGCAATGTAACATAATTTAAAAGAAAAATACAATCCATGACACCTTTACAGATTTTGCTGATTTTTTTCCTTCTATTTATAAATTTTTTTTAATGTCTAAGTTTAGACGAAAATGCCACCCCCATTAACAGTTTGCGTGAAAATGTTTTCTAGAACACACAAACGAGTAAGAAATGTTGGCAGTTAAAAATTGTTGAAGAATTAATTTTCTTGATTCATCAAAATTCTGCTATACTTTCTGTACAGCTCATATCAAACGATATTTTTATTAATTTCTGACAACTTCTGATTTTTCCATTTATTTTTTAATGTACTGAATATTTATTTTTTGAAATATTATTTCTGAAAACTATTTTTTTAATAAATTATTTTTAAAAAAATAGTGGATTTAAAATATAAATACATTTAGAGGACATTTTTTATTAAAAAAAATGTCCAAAACCTATTCAGTGCCGATTCCTTTATTTATGTGTTCGATTTTAGGAATATGCACTGTGCACACTTTTTTATATATATAATAAATTGCATTATTCATGATACTTGAGTAATTTTAGTAAAGTTCAGATAAAAAAACCAACTTTCTCTAAAATTCCTTGAATTATTCGGTAAATTCAACACACCATTAATTTTAATTTTTGGCTTTGATATTTTTTAAAATATTTAATAAACTGATATATTCAAATAAGTTTGTAACATTGTTTGAAATTTTAAAGTTTTGTACTAAGGTAGTAATCAATAGCATTAGTTTAAGAGTTAAATAAAATTTTAGGATAATATATGCAAAATATATTAGATTTAAAAGAAGATTAAAATCAGTTATTCTTTAAGATGCTTTCATTGTCTTTGATTTTACAACTTGTGTGACAAAATTATTACATGCACTCAGATATTTAACTCTAATGATTTAATCTTAGTGCAGTTAAAAATTAGTTTTATACAAGAGTTAAAAATTCTCTTATTTTTCTATAAAAACAACCTAACTAAGCACAGTGTATGAGAAGGTATATGTGAATGTCTATTGTATTTGTGGAATATTTTTGTGATAATATTATTAAAATATTTTTGCATTTTATTAATTTTTTTAATGACACCTAGGTGAAACAAATTACTTCTTTTTTACTATCCTGTGTTGCCAAATTTGGGAAAAATTTATTTTTTCTACGTTTTTTTTCTCTTCTTTTTATCACATTTTTTTTCTTTTAAGAAAAAAGGAAGTTCAGAGGATTTAAAGTAAAAATTTTGCTAAAAGGTTTTTTCTTTTTTTTCTTTTTTTTTTTTGGTATTGGTGAGATGTTCTGAAGGAGTAAAAATATTTTTAACCCATTACTGCCCTAGGTCCCTTTATAGGGATGGTTTAAAATACGCAATAAATTCTTGCATGATTTTTTTATAGATTTAAAATTTATTTAAGGTATCCTTTTCTTAAAGTTTTGTTCATAAACACATAAATTAAGAAAATTAAAATTATTTTTTAATCTATTAGTGCCCTTGGTCCTTCTATAAGGACGATTGAAAAATACAATAAGAGCTGGCAGGAATTTTTTGGATTGCAAATTCATTTAAGTACGCAGTTTTTTTTAAAGTTTTGGACATAAAAACATGAATTTAGCTATTGAACTAGATTATTTTTATTTTTTCAGATTTTACTATTTTTTTTTTAATTTTGTATTGCGGTCTGAAATTTTAAATATTTTCCAACTTTTTCAAATAATACCAAATGTTTCGAAGCACTTTTTTTTGGTAATTTTCCGTTCTATTTCTCGACATTAAGCATTATTATTTTAATTAATGTTGAAAAATTGCGACATGAATTAGAAAAACCAAAGTACCTTTAAAAGCAACTAATGTTAATCACTACTAATCAATATTGGAGCATTAAGTCCAAAAATAAATATCTCTTATTATTTTATTTAATTATGTTTTTTATATATGTTTTATACATATAATTCAGATCTAAGATTTCTGTAGTTACTATTAATGAATTGTGTTCAAAAGGCAATTGCGTTTGGTGGAAGAATGAGATGTTTTAGCGATCGTCAAGAAATTCTTCTTAAGACACATTTTCCCATTAAAAATCTAGTAAAAAATGTTTTGTGTATACAATTTTAACCATAACAATTATTTTTAACAGAAAAATTATACTTTTATAGTTGGTTTATTTGAATGAAAAAAGTATTCACACTCATGAATCTACTAGAAATCCATTCATACTAAATAAAATCGTGAAGCATCAAGTTATTTTTAAATAATACAACTATAAAAGCCATAGTTGCAAAGCTTTCTTCAAGGAAAATGAAGAGTTTGTTTGCATGTTTTTTGTGGTTTAAATAGTCTGGTTAAGGGACACTATACTAAATGTTATTATGTATCCATGTGGTCTGAAATTCTTTTTTATGTCCTGAATTTGCATTTTTCTTCATTTTCTTTTTATTTATTCTTAATGTTCTAATAAATATCCTTATCGAAAAGTTCTCTTAATGTTGACGTTCATATACTCGTATTAAAATGTATACTCAATCATGAGAAATTTTTAAAAATTTATTTCGATGCTAGAAAGTTATATTTCAGATGCATTCAGAACGTTATGAGCATCAAATAAAAAAATTTACATTAATGAAATTATTAGTATGAATGAACATTAAAATTTTACTTCGGACGGAAATGTTTAGAAAAACCTTGATCTAGATATCACACAATTTTTTAGCCTATATAGGCTGTGTCAACTACCATATATGTTTATGTATATGTGTATTCATGTGTTGTAATATCAAGTACTTGTGTATTGTTAGTCAAAAGATATGTTTAATATATCTATTTTTTCTAACATCAATTAACTTTATTAAGTGTCAATAGCATTCTTTTTTTACTGGTCATTATTTTTGTGCTGTACAATTATTTACTTTATGTTATTCAAAATGTTGTCTCTGTTATTATCATTTCTGTGGACTTCCACATGGCAGTTCAATTTAATAAATTTTGCTCGATTTCCTAAATATAGAAATGTAGCAATAAGTAGTATTTTGAAAACAATACATTTTTAAAAACGTAAGTAAAACTTTTTATTCTAAACATATAATTCTTTCTGTTTATAACTCTAATTTAATTTTTTTTTCTTCAAATTTGATAAAACTTTTATAGTTTGAGAAGTGGAAATAATTTTTATACCATAACGGAAAAGAATAATTTTGTATTTTCTACTGAATATTTATTGCATTTGTAAACATTTTTCACGACATTTTCCTTTACATTACCCCAAATTTTACTTACTTTTAGA